GAGAGAGAGAGAGAGAGAGAGAGAGAGAGAGAGAGAGAGAGAGAGAGAGAGAGAGAGATGCCTGTTCACCACCTTGTCTCTTTAGGTAGAAAAGAACAGCCAGTTACCCGAGAGTCTCCTAGGAGCAGGACAGGGGAGTTACAAACACAGGTCATCACTCAGTCTCTCAAACACGACATCAAATTTCTGGCTCTGGGAATGAGACCCAAGGAGAGTCCTTCAAAGACACTGCTTTCCTCCCTAGCAAGGGCCAAACTCCAACACACCTACAACTTCAACAACCCAAGGCTTCTTCTCTGATTAAGTTCATTTGGTCATTAGAACCTGAGATAGAATTAGGATGATTAGAAACCTAAAAAAGGCCCTAGTACATCTAAGAAAATTCAAGAAATAACAACAATAACCAACTGGAGCAGGGAGAGTGAGTGGGTGAGCACGGATCTATGACAAATACTACTCTGAGAAAAACAATTCTGTATGACTAATTTCTTTCTTCTCTAAATGCAAGAATCTGAGTTTGATCTTAAAGGTCTAAACCCACAGCTTTTTAAAAATTGACATTGCAAAGTAAAGAGCCATACAAAAAAGCACTACTACCAGAAGAACGTAAATGTACCTATAAAAATGTATCAAAAATCATACCCCTCCTGGAAATGCCATTCTTCTTGTTCTTATTTTCAATAAAAAAAAAAATTCTCCTAACCTCAAAAAAAAAAAAAAAAAAAAAAGAAAAGAAAGAAAGAAAAAAGCCAGTAACAAACAGAACAAAAATCTTATTGCAGGTCTAGAACCAGTACAAAAGTGTCCAATATTTAATTATACTATTCTACAGAACGTCACACACTAAAAACACCTCTCTTAATTAACCTACTTAGTGATACCACCCCTGCGATCGCATTTAGTTCTTGTTTTTACCCCCTTCCCTTTGCAACCTCTAATCTGTTATCTGTGAACTGTGCAACTTTTGTTCCTGCTCACCAGAATTTTATCAGCCATCTGCTGGATCTGTTGGGATTTTGTCTGGATGTCATCCTTCAGTCTGTTTTCTCTACGCTCCATGGTCTCTAGTCTCTTTACCTTGTTCTCCAGAGAATGGCGGCGTTCCTGTAGATCATGAATCAATCAGAGAGTTTTAATGGAGCAACCACTATGGGCATATCACTTGCACCGAGGGAAAGAGCCCTCAGGAAGCATACACTTGAATCAGGAGAAAAAAGTCTCAGGCACCTGAAGCAACAGCAGGGAAAATAAGACTGCAATCCAGGTGCTCAGCTGAATAGATTACAAGAGTGCATTCATTCATTCAAATATTTACCAAGCACCTACTATCTGCAAAGTACCACACTAGGCATCACAGAAAATACTGAGAGGAAGATGAAATACTTCCCACCCTTGGAAAAGGTAAGACAAACATAAATAAGCACAACAGGTGAAGAGGGAAAAGAACCACAAGATACTGTGGGAGGTAGCAGGCAGGAAGGAGGACTCGGAACCACACAGTCGAGTGGTATGATGACAGAGATATGAGCTTTGTAGAGGGATGGGGAAGATGGGTAGTAGTAGGGAAGATAGGATGAGAGAACAGAGGAATGACACACAAGGGGGAGAAACATGAAGGTCTTCAAGGGCCAATTCAGGCCCCAGGAGGGGGTAAGCATAGGACAGGAAAGAGCAGGTGAAACAGTGAAAGGACAACATTTGAGGGTTAAAATTCAAATGGCTAAGTTTTACCTGCCAGATTTTTATGTGCCAGAATCAAGGGTGCAACTAAGATATATGGAATCCCTAAAGGGGTTGGAATAAGGGTGCTCGGGGTCTGTGAATCTGACACCGTATGAGTCAGCTGGGAGGAAGATAGAGACTATAAGCACAAGGACAGGAAATCACTATGCTTGTTTAGCTAAGAGGAAAGGGCAACAAACAGGAATGAAGGAGAGAAATAGGGTATCTGTATTTATAGGCCTGAATGCCTCACAGAAATGGCAGGGTCTCACGATAAACAAATGACACAAAGGTCTCAAAGCTGGGGTGACCAAGAGAACACTGGTGGCCCTGACCTGTCTGAGAAAAGTGAGAAAGGGAATTAGCTGGTGAGGGTGGTCATTGTGTTCACTCTAAACGCGAGGCACTATTGACGCACCATGTGGGATTTCCGGGGAGCAGCAGGGAAGACAGCCAGGAACACAGTGAGAACAGCCCCACAGAGCCCTGTGCTGGGAGCACACCCAGACTGTACCAGGGAAATGCAAAGGCCCAGCAGTAGGGAAGTGATGTCAACTATGGCACAAGCATTCCAGGGGACAAACACCAAGGGTTAGGGCAGGCAGAGACAAGCAAAGAGGAAGGGTTACTTTTTACTCTATGTTCATCTACACTGTTTCAATTTTCATAATGAAAAGGCACTCATATATTTTCAGTGTAATTATATAAATGATTTCAACAATAACAACAACAACAACAACAAAGAATATGAGAAAGAGAAAAGGTCCAAAAATAGAGATCTGAGAGTTGTCAACACATGGGTCATAAGTGAAACCTTGAGAATTAACACGTTATGAACATTGTTGGGCAAACAGTAAGGCACATAGAAGGAAGAGAAAGAAAAGTCAGAGATAGAATTAAAATGAGCCTATAAAAATACAAATTCTCCCAGATTAGTGAGAAGGTCAGAGGAAAACAAGCAAATGGGAAAGCTTTTGTTGAGACATCTTTCAACTTGAAGCTGCAAAAACAGATCTTCCTTTCCTCTTGGGAGAAAAGGTATCCAAGCCTGTCAAGTTTCAAAGGGATCTTCTAAAAGGAAGCACTATGGTAAAAAAAAAAAAAAAAAAAAAAAAAAACCAAGTGATGGTTCTGCAGTTTTTCCCTTGGCACAGCCAAGATCAGTCGCATGACCACTTAGGGTGAGGGCTCAGTTGGCAGGCTCCTGGAGACTCCCTGCTCACCTCAGCTTCAACCAGCTTCTTTCTTATGCCTTCTGAAGAATCTTCTCGGTTCTGCAGCTTCTCCAGCTCTCGCTCGGCTCGCTCCTTTGCCTGACGGATATTCTGCAGCAGCTCGGTGGCCTCTGTGCTGGCTTTCACCGCCTACGAAGGAAAAAGCATATAGGACATAGATGTCCAAGTTTATTCATGTAAAAAAGGTAGTGACGATCCCCTAAACAGAAACAGCAGGTAACACTCAGTATATATTACCTCCATTTTTAAAAAACATATAAGCATCTGTTTCATTCTGCACTTCACTAAGGTATACTTCTTTATAACACTGTTGAATCTGGAATATATCCTATAATTAAAATTGATGTACATTATTTTTCTTTTTAGGATACGTAATAGTGTATCTGACAATCATTTGCATCTCCAACTTGATGCAACATGGAGAATGCGAACAAAAAGCTCCAGATGCATTGCTTTACCTAGAAATTAAAGTACTTACTGCCGGCCATAGTTTTCTTATTTTAATTTTCTCATTTGCTAATCTTCCCAGAGGGATTTTGGAACACTTTTATAAGAAGAAAGCAAGGTAAAGCTGTAAACTTTTTTTTTCTTCAAATAATACTTTCCAAAGAGTACAACAGCCCTTGTTCATGATAATATACAAATCTAGTTATAACAAAAAAAGCTAAACCTCAAGGTTAATTATATATTTAATGCTTTTTGAGTTTGAGTTATAATACAGCTCTTACAATATTAGAGCAGAGACCTGAGCTTAGGAAACCAACAATTTCATATATATTTGCTCTAAATCAAAAATTTTTAAGTATAAACTGCAAGAAAATTCCAACTCTGACCTGTACTGTTCCACATGGGAAGCAACAGGCACATGTGGACGCTGACGTATTGAAATGTGGCAGAAATTTCATTTTTTAAACTTTAGTTTGGAGTTAATATTAAGATCAACTAAAAGGGTAATTGATATCTGATGTATACAGACTTTCAATGTTAAAATTTCCAGAAAAATTTCCAGAGATCTAGTGCCCGAGCATACAAATGTACTCTTAAATTATATGCTTAGAAATAAGTTAAAGTAGTAATTTAATGTTATGTTTTTATCACAATGAAAAGTAACAGCTGTATTAAACCAAGCCAGCAAATACATGCATGAACATCCTGATGTGAATGCCACACCCTAGTATCACATTCACTCTGCTCCTTTCTTTAAACATTTCTAGTGCTCAAATAAAGGGACAGTCTGAAAACTCCTGAGACTAGATCATAAATGTCCTCACCTTACCTAAGTATGTGAATGACAGCTATTTTAGCTACCTTAATCATTTCACAACTGTATACATATATCAAAACATCAGGATACCAAAAATATGTATAGTTTTCATTGATCAATTATACCTTAATAAACCTAGGAGGGAAATAATTCACAAAACATAAAAACAGAAGAAGAGACATTAGCACAAACCTTACAAGATGCTATCTACCAACCCACCCACTCATGATGACTCCAAGGATCCTCCAATCCCATTCCATCCTTGGGCAGCAATGTTTCTGAGGGAAGCAGCCTGGGTGGAGAACACATCAGTGCGGAATGGGGAGCCTAGCCCCTTGATTACTAAGGCATGAGAAGTCCCTGCTTGGTTCTGTTGTAGTATAATTTACACTCATACAGCTTGGCTTTTAAAAATATAGACTATTAACACATCTCAAAAGGAATAAGTATATTCAGAACACTGATATTTTCAAGCAATAGCTCACTTCCCCTTCAGTTTCCTAGGTGACTAATTCTGTTTCTTTCTTCTTCATGGCTCCAGGATAAGGCAAAGAAAAATATGTGGCAATGGGGGTAAGCTCCTGAAAAAATCACCCTAGGCTTACCTTTTCCAGCTTCTCTTGGAGCTCTTGGATTTTGAGCTGCTGTTCAGCATTGATCTAGAATTAAAATCCCAAGAAATAAAGCAGAAAGCAAATTAACATTCATATCTTGCAAAATTTAGCACTGTCTTACTGCCTGGATGTATCCATGGGGCCTTTTAGGTTTGTTTTCCAGAACCTACTCATGGCAAGCAAGAATGGGGCCTATCAGGTCTTTGGAAGTCTACCTCCCTATGAACTATTTCTCTAGAACTAGAAATATATAAATGGTAAAAACAAAATCAAAATTGTGCAGTGCCTTAAAACAATTTTCACGTTTTACTAAGTGTCTGAGTTTATGGTCTTACGATGAGAAGATAGGACTAAAAATGAAGTCTTACTCTCTTTTAGAACCATAGTTTAGACTAAACATGATAGATGACCCAGAGGTGGACCATCAAACCTGGAGGGGCTGGAGTAGAGGAGCTCAGTAGATCACCCTGTATCTAACACACACAAAGTCTTGGATTCAATTCGTAGCACCAAAAAAAATAAAGCTAGAAGAGAATTTTCAAATCATTGATTGCAAAAGTATTTTTAATCAATGACTGGCCACTGACAGTAACATTAAAAAAATCCACTCAGAATAGCAAGAGCAATCATGGAATATATACCTTCTCAAGTTTGGAATATTCTCCTACTTCAGGTTTCCCTTGATCTTTAGCCTGCAATTAAAAAGATACACCATAGTGGGAAATCTCAACAGCCTAAAAGTCCTGTAGACAACATTATCTGAATACTCTCCTGGCCACTGTAACCAAACCAATAGTAATGATGTCATCTGCTAAAAATAAAGACCTAACAATTTCCCAAGATGTTTCCCATTACATCTCAAACCTGTACCCACTAAGGTACTACTGTCTTGTACACTGCTATGATCCTCCATCACTGCACCCAAAAATAACTCTCCTGACTACCTTTATCAGCTTATGCTGACATTCTGTTGCTTTCCGCTTGAATTCTTCAGCAGCAAGCCGAGATTCTCTCAGCTCAGATTCATAGAGATCACTCCGTCTTCTGGCTGAGACAAGGTCCTCTTCCAGTTGATTCATCATCAACCTCATTTCCTCCACTTGAGCCTGGTATTCCTAAAGAGCAGGCAATGGAACACAGGTGAACTCAGGGTCTCTGAAAAGAAATGGCAGACAGTGAAGATGGAAAGATAGCAACCAAAGAGGAAGATGTGTGCTGAAGACAGAGTGGCAAAGGACAGACACTGAGAGAAAGTAGTGGAAACAGACCCAGAGAGAGAGGACTTCAACTGGGGAAAGTGGGGAAGTGTTGGGAGAGAAGGAGAGAAGACCAAACATGAAATCTTTAAACCACTTCAATATAGAACATGCAACTTTAGTAAATCTATCAGCAACATGTACAGACAATAAGATCCTCAGCAAACATCACCACATAATATGCACAGCATTTTAAGGTATAACTTAGCAGAAAAGGTGGCAGCACTGTTCTTTAAATGCAGATAAACTGCTCATGTGTACTATGCAGATAAACTGCTCATGTGTAGTTCTCTCCCAAGGATAATCATTTCTATGGCTTTGTCCTTTAGAAGTCATGTGCTCCTAATACAATTAGATATGGTAGTAGTCTTAAAATTAACCTTTCAAATGGCTCCAGAGTATAATTGGAAATCTATGGAAAACATCCAGCAAAGTGAAACTTATCATTGTCAGTTTCTCACCATTAATTTTTCTGGGCCCAAAACTGAAGGATGAACTTAACACTGCTCCCGCAATACAAGTCACCCTGAAATTTGGAAGCCTCACAAAACACTGGCTCTGGAGGGAATAACTCGCAATAATCGATTCACAGGAAATAATTATTCTGTTCCCCTGTAACAACCCACTTAAGGGGGGCCTAAACAACCTAATCTTTTCATAAATGAATTTCTAAAATCAAAAAAGAACATTTGAATTGAGACTTTTTTTCATGAAAGGATTTACCAGAAGAAATGGCAATGGTTTTGAAACTTGTAAACCAAAAATAGAAATATTCTTCATTTGCAAAATCAGTGTTATGTATAAGAGTTATGAATGAGTATCTAATCTAAGATGACTGGAATGAAAAGAAGAAACATAAAATAAAAAGAACAGGGAATTAAATCAAGATTATATCTGACACTTGTAAAGAACAGTAATACCTCTAAGAATGATTCCAAGAAAATAATTCGTAAGGTAACAATTTAGCAAGGATTTTGTTTGTTTGTTTTAGTTTTTTGAGACAGGGTCACACCATGTAGTTCAGGCTGGCCTTTAACTCACTATGCAGCCCAGGCTGGCCTCAAACTCACAGTGAGAGCTTAGGTCACAGGCATGCACCACTACACTCAGATAGCAAGGATTCTTTTAACCAACAAATTGCAATTTCCGTTTTTTAATTACAGGTTATCACATACCCCTTTTACCCCATTTTAACAAGCAATCTTCCAGTATACACTAAATGGGTAGTGATATTCTTATTAAAAACTGGATGATCTTCATGTAAGGACACCTCTCCTTAAGGCATCAGTAAAGGGGCAGGTAAAATATGAGCCCAAGTGGAGTTTGGGTCTCATTCCATTCCCTCCCATCCAAAACCACAGTTACTGATAGTCAGCTCTCGAGAACATGGGCATACAGGTTTCCTGTGTGATGCATATTAAGCGGGTGATACTAGATGAGGTACCCAAAGGGTTTAATAACTGCTCACGATGATCTAATCCCTCATAGTAGAACAGGAGCCATAAGAGAAATGGTACATCCTTTCCTTGGAGTTTTTCTAGAGTTCAATGGTAGTGAACCTATGGCATGCATATTATTTATAAGACAAAAGATGTTAATTAGGGGTTTTTCATTTGTAACTAAAACCTCAGTATTCAGGTTTAATTGTAGTGTTACCATTTTGTGGTAGGTAAGGTTTGTGGTTGCAGTTTGGTCACACACTTCTAAATAGTTCGCTATCACTGTTCTAGATCCTCCACAGCCAGGAATGTATTATGACTGTCTCAGCTCTGAGCAATGGGCCTTTGTTGACCTCTTTCTCCATTAAAAATAATAATTACATATGTATAGTATATTACATTGCACATATATGTATTTATATAAAATTATATTTTATAATTGCCTTCACATAGACACCAAAGTGTTGTATTACCTATAAAAACAGTATCTTTAACCTAAAACCTTGACTTTTACCTTTGAATTAAAAGTTAAAACATTTTATGCCTCCCGAGGAGTACAATGGTCTCTTATCCCTGAGTCTGCCATGTCCAAAGGAAAAGTCACCTTGCCCAGAAGCATGAACTCCAATCTGCAAAAGTAGCAAAGAGCTGGAAAAAGGTCTTAGGCATCTTTCATCCTCAGGGTCCCTTTTCATTCTGGAATTTATGTCAGCAAGGAAGGAAGGTAATTTTTGTGTCTCATCAAGAGCACAGACAGAATGTCCCCACCCCTATCATACCCTCAGTCCCTGACATCTTTCTTTCCAGAGCTGTCAGCCCTCAGGGAGAGGAAGACAAGGATCAGGCAACATCCCTGTCAGTTCTTGGACTCTTGCACAGTGGGCCTGCCATGGGCAGCCAAAGGAATTCTAACTCATTTGCTGATCTCCAGTTATTAGCTGAGGCTTCAAGGAAATCCTATAAATCTAATGGCTAAACAAATCCCTGCTTCAGGAGAAACATGAAAGAACATAATCAGGTCTGTGTCTAAGAGCAGCTGCGAAGGCTGTCATGTTTTCACATCGCAAGACTTGTGGGCATGAGTTGAGCGGGTCAGTATGGGGAACAACTCTCATGGCCCATTCACAGCAGGTCTTCTGAATGAAGTTCCAGAACCAGGGAGGTGGGTAGCATGTAGGCACACTCCTAACATAAAGAAATCCTGTTGCAAATGATTTCTGTGTTACCTATACTTCTGTTTCCTTTCCTGAGACGGGGAGGGGCAAGGAAGCATCAGCAATTGCTACCATGATGTATAAATCAAACTGAGACCTGTAGGTGTTTTTATGGTAAACTAAAGGCAAATACTCCATAAGGAATAGTGAGGTGGAAGCAAAATATTTTTTAACTAAACAGTTGTACAGATAATTAGCTTTTGAAAGGAAAAACAGAATTAATCCCAAATCTGGGAGGAATCAGTATGCTGAAAATCAAATACTGGAAGTTTTCTGTAAGCATTAAAAGCTTTCTCCTGGTTTGCAAACAGTCTGCTCTCACAAAACATACAAGTCATTTTAATATAACCTTTTTCCAATGAGAAATAAAATCAGAAGCTGAGAAGTACCCCCCACCATGGAACTTTTAACAGTCATTAAATCTAAAACTCCACATGCATGCCGACTAGGGTATGAATCATAAAAGACATTTCTTTGAACTCACACACCAGTATACACCTTTTCAAAATGTCCTGATAATTCTATTTCTATGGAGTTCATGGACACCAGCGGCTCCCTCTGGTGGCCAAGTACACCTTTCATTTCCCCAGGATGTCCCCTAAGAGTAAATTTCCAAATACATTGAACTAATGGGGAGAAAAAGAATCCTACCGCCTGAACCTTTAAGGATGAAAAACTATGTTGATAAAAAGGGAATGAGTCACCTGTCAAAGCAGATTTTCTCAAAGTATATGCATGCCCTTCAAAATCTCAAAGATAGGTATTGTTCAAACTTGATAATGTGTTTGTGAAGTTTCTTATGCACATTTATTTATAACATTTTTAGCAAGCAAGAGGAAATTAACCCATCATTTTAAAATACTAAGGTGACAAATACAGTGTTCCAACAAACCCCCAAAGACAAATCTTTCATTCTCTACAGTGTAACTAACAGATCGAGTTATTTGCAGGAGTTTCTTGCATTTACGCCACCCAGATGGCTAAGTTTGTGCTCCCCAAGACAAAAATGCTCCTTTTTTCCTCAGTGTTTCCGTTAGATTTTCTGAAGTGAATGAGAGTTGCCTGGCAGCTGATAATTCAGCTCTCCAATTACTCACTGCCATCTCTTCATTAAAGTTTCTATTTACAGTTTCTTCAAAAGACAGAAAAATCTGTGCTAAAAAGGAAACAATGAGGCAATAAAAGTGAGCCATCTAGAAAGCAACCCTTTTTAGAAAGAGCGACAAGAATGGGTGAGCTTTTTAAAGGCCTCGATTCTCTTTTCTGAACACACAGGGGAAGGTTTTCTGCACCCAGATGTGCCGTGTCAATTCTGGCTTCGCCAGCTCGAACTTTTCTTCTAGGATATTAACTTACATAAGTAAAACTATGACTTACTTTGACTTCTCTCAAAAGCTTAAATTACACCTGAAAAGCTGCAGAAATAAAAGTTTACTTTCTTTGGAACCACTGTAAGCAGGGATTGGCCAACTTTTTCAGCAAAAAGCCAGAAAATAAGGAGTTCTCAACTTCACAGACCACACAGGCTCTGGGACAACTGTTTACCTCCACATCAGTAGCACATAAACAGCTGTGACCAACAGGTTAATGAACAATCACGGCTGTATTCCAACCAAACTTCACCTATAGGCACTGAAGTCTGAATTCCATAACATTTTCACATGTCACAAAATATTTTTCTAGAAAACGGAAGCTTCGAAAAATCACTTAATTGCATTAAACTCCCTTCTACTACATATATATATATTTATATATGATGTATATTTATGTATTTATGATGTCATATATATATATATATATATATATATATATATATATATATAGTATTTTTCTTTTGATTTTCTTCCTATCATTTAAAAATGGAAAACCCATTCCCCACTGTGAGCCACAAAGCATAGGTGGTGGGTCAGATTTGTTCCACCAGCCTAAGTTTGCTTACCATGGCTCTAATACATCTTTATTATTATTGAAATGCAGACTTCAAAAGGAGCTGAAACAAGCAAGTGCTACACGATTTATATAAACCATGGGAAACCTAAAGTTTCTAACTGACCTACCTTTCTTGTTTTCCCTCTGCTGCCAGCCTTTCTCCCCCACCCCTTCCTGCCTCTCAAATACTTCTGAGATCTGAGGTCTGAGCTGGCCATGTGGCCGTACAGCTCCGGGTAAGCACTCATACCTGCTCTTTGATTTCTTGGAGCTTCCGGCTCTGTTCTCTAATGTCATGGAGAAGCTGCAGTGCTTTGTCATCCTCCTGGGACACCTCCATCCGTGCTTGCTCCAAACTTCGCTTTAAGCTCTGCGGAAAGCAAAAATTTTAATAGGGATGCCCCATGGAGGCTGTTTCGGCTGAAAAGATTTGTTAAAAGAGCTCCAAGCTGCTTCGAAGACACCAGGATGGTTTCAGGTGACGAACCAAAGTCCACAACTTCCGGTTGGCTGCTGATTCCAGTTTTCATCCTGTGAAACCCCCTGGGTCAAGAAACATCATCTCAAGCTTATGGCCTTATGGGTCCAGACTGAAACTCACCACCTACCTGTCCTCACAGGTACAGACTTTGTTCAGTACTAAAAACCAACAAGATCCCTTAGTTGTTACATCCACCCTTTAGATGGACATCTAGTCTTCTGTACAATAACCAATTATTTAAAGACTCTCAAATACAGATTATTCTTGCAAAGTAGACATGACATCATCTTCTACCCAGCTGAACTATTTCCACTTCCTGGCTAATTTGTCCTGGACACCTATCATCCATAAAGTTCCTTCAATGCTTCAATGGCACTGAAATAAATATCTGAAATACACAGCTGAACAACTTCACCCACCACTGAAAGGCAGCCAAGTCTGGAATGGAAACATAGCAGTTATTCTTAATCAGCCACGTTCTATAGATTTCCTCTCCCTTGTGAGGAAAAAAAAAAAAAACTTTAAAAATGTGTGATTCAACTTCTTGAGATTGTTTAATTGGGCACATTAAAAAAAACACCTGAATGAAAAATTTAACAAGACAATGGAGAAGACAGTCTACTCTTGTGAAGGAAAGAAAAAACAAAAATTATATGGTAAATAATGACAGAGGGTCCGAGTTTCAAAGGCTGAATTTCTTGTCACTACATTGCTTCTAGTGAATGGAAAGTTGATTTGAGGCAGGACTGAAATACATTTTCCTGTACACATTTGGAAGTTTGGTGTCCAAGGCTGATCATGGTGGACACAGTGGAGACCAGAAAGGCTGGGATGGGAGTGGTCAAAACCTTTGCCTCTCGCTGCAGTGACAGCTGACTCCCATCTCCAGGCTCTAACGTACCAGCAGCCTATCTGGACGTCATTTTGGAAACAAATCCATCCTCATTCCTTGGGGGCCTCACACCTGGCTCACACTGTTTTGCAGATCACAGATCTTGCTTCTGTGCTCTCCCTGTCTCTACTCTCTGCCATTGGCTGTGATGTGCCTCATGGAGCCATCATGAAACAGGATGAGACACACACAACAGGAAGTGCCGCCTCCGAGGGAAGGGGGCTTTGGGGAAGGCTCACACTGCATTCTGTGATGTAGGTAGCAAGGTCCTGCTCCAGGAGGGATCTCTGAGTCTCAGAGGCCTTCAGCTCCACCTCCTTCTGACTAAGCACAGCCTCCACCTCTGACACTCTCCGATGTAACCGGGTCATTTCCTGCTCCATCTGAAATAAACACATCGACAGGTTAGAAAAGCCCTTGGATGTTCCTTAGGAGCAATCAAATCTCAAGCAGCCCCAGGACCACCTGATGGTCTGGGCTACTGCTATTGCCAAAGGTTGGGATGGAGATACCATTGTTTCTTCGCCCAGGAGCGCACAGTTCTTCGTAAGGACAGTCACCAAATGCTAAGTCACTCCTCTCATCCAAGTCCCGCTTCTCACTCGATCACTTCTCTAACCCAGTTAGCAAGGAAGCCAAAATCATCATTTTTCACCTGTTTGCTTTTTTTTTGGTTTTGTTTTGTGTTTTGTTTTCTGCAGACGTCACTTTAATTTTATCCCAAATCCATCTTGCTTCCCCCCATCTCCTTGCAAAGATCTAGAGGACAAATCCAGGACAGGGCAAGGAGATATTTATTTGTCTGCACTCTGAGAGGTCCCAGGCAAGCAGTGGCTTTTATTAGTTTCCAGGGAGTTGCCTCTGGGCAGGAACAGTGAGTGTTAACAGACGTTGAGCATAATCAATACAGTGGCCGCAGTGACATAAGCAGCAGTTTTAAAAGACTAGGAAGAGAGACTTCGAATCACTCAAGGCAGATAGGATGCATCTCAGCCACAGGTGAGGACCCACGCCACCTGCCGGAAGAAGCAGACATCGGGCTGGGTCATTCTGAGAAACGGGCCGTTTTAAATCCAGGGCCTCCTCTGGTTAAGACTTAAAGGATTTACAGCAAAGTCAAGGCCCGAATTCATCTCCCTCTGAGCTGCCGAGGCGCGACTTCAGCGAGGCGAGGAGCACCTCACTCTCTATGGATCAGGAGGCTCAGCGCCAGCAGTGGCCCAGGGCGGATCCCTTGGCATATATTGACGGGAGGATCCTGGAGCAAGGAGGGAGGCCAGCTGCAGAGATAAATACCTTGTGACACTTGTCCTGAGAGTCTTGCAGCTCTTTGCTTTTGATGAGAAGTTTCTTTTCCATGGAGCTAGTCTTGGCAGGGGAGTCCAGACTCAATACAACAGACCTGGTTAGGAAAGCAAACAAGGTCAAGGTGATCAGCAGGTGAGTCCAAGAAGCAGGCAGACCTGCCAGTATTCTGTGACCACTAGCAAGGATGACTTAAACTGCTTCAGATGGCATTAAAGCAGTAAGACTGGGAAGTAGAAGGAAGAAAGGACTGTGTAAGTGGGCAGACCTGGTGTAAACTTATATGGCTCTCTGAGCCACAGAGTGCATATCTGTGAGGTGATGATTAAGGATCATAAAAGAACTTCCCACTGGGCATTGCAGTACATGCCATAAGCCCAGCACTCTGGAAGGTGAGGCAGGACAATCACAAGTCTTGAGCCTACCTTAGGCACCTTGGCAACTTAGTAAGACCCTGTCTCAAAATAACTATTTACAAAGGGCTAGAGATGTAGCTCCGTGTAATGGGCCTAGGCTCAATCCCTGGTACCAGGGGAGAAAAAAACCCAAAACTCCAGAAATTGTGAATATGAAATGCTCAGCACCACACCTGACATGACACTGTTTGCTTAATGGTGTCACACTCAACAGGTACATGCACCCATTCTGTTCCAGTAACCTTTCCAGGCACTGATGTTTAGTAATGAACAAGACATGAAAGGTCTCTGCCTACCTGAAACTGACATTCTATACAGAATAGCAACATGCATTAGGCAGACTCAAAAACAAAAAGATTTTGGATCAGGATAATACCAATGAAAGATGGAGACAGGATGCCATGATACGATGGAGAAAATGGGGCTGAAGATTTGTTTTAAGCAAAAGGGATTGGGGAGGGTTTCTCAGAGGAAGTGATACTTGGCCTGAGTCGTAATGGATAAGAACATGCTAGCCACACAAAGCTCTAGAAGAAAACAAGTAGCAAGGAGAGGAAGAGACAGATGCAAAGGACCTGATGCAGGACAGAAATACAATTGCACAACAAATGTTGTCAGTTACTATACTGATTAAAATATTGCTTATTCCCTCCCCACACTAGCCAACTTGGTTATTTCACTTTATAAAAATAGCTCATGCTAGTGGGTTAAATAATGTCCCCACTCCCTGTGTCCCAATCCCCAGAAATTTTGAGTATGTTACTATCATGACAAGAGACTTTAAAGTTGTGATGAAGTCAAGCATCTTGAGAGAGAGGGTTACCATGGATCATTTGGGAGGTCCAATACAATCACAAAGATACTTATAAGATGGAAACAGAAGAGGGGAGATGTGACAATGGAAGCAGGGGACAGACTCAGAGATCTGAAGATGCTACCCCACTGGCTTAGAACAAGGAAAAGAACGCACAAGACAAGGAAAAAAGGCACCCTGTAGAAGTTGGCACGGAGACCAGATACCTTTTGATCCTCTAGGGAGAATTCAGTCTTGTCTGCACTGGTCTCAGCCCTACAAAACCCACCTCTGACTTCCCATTCCCCAAACTGCAAGACATAAACTTGTGCTGTTTTTTGCTATCAAGTTAGTAAGGATTTGTTATGGCAACCACAGAATTCATACACTTAATAAGCTCCAGCCACAAGCCTGGTTCTGTTTGAATGGATGTGTTTTAACTCTACTCCCTACAATAACTTCATGAAACAGATAGAATTTATGATCCATATTTAATAGATGAAGAAACGAAGCTTACCAAGGTCAATGGTAACCTGCCAGTTGATAATGATTTCTGTTGGTCTCAATAGGAAGTGGGGGGAAAGAGACAGGTTTTATATACCTGATATAATTCTCAGGAAAGAAACATAAAAGTATATCACAGGTCATCTAATGAGTGAACTAGCAGGATGCTCTCCCCACAGAAAGGACATACTCACATATCTATGAAATTTACACATGGTACCTCATCACTAGAAGCAATTAACTATGGGTAGAGCTTAGAGTTCCCCTTCAGGGAAGTCTCCTCAGCAGGTGGCATTCTGGGTACAAACACAGGGATCAGTAAAAAAGCAGGGCCAGGGTCACAGCCAGCAAAGTTTCCTATGCATGGAGGGATATGATGGAGCCCACTGCTAACCCATAATCCCATCTTTGTTGCCTTGGTAACAGGACTGCAGGAACTAGTTATCAATGTGTATTCAGGTCTTACCATCAATAGAAGTTCTGTTTTTGCTGCTCAAACTACTTCCCCACCTAAAAGAAGTCGGTTCCCTGCAGCAACGTAAAACACCTCTCTCCCCATAGCTCCCAGCTATTGACAAGGGCCAATGTGGCAGTGCTGGTTGGCTGTACCAGTGCTGGTTGGACAGCTCTCTATGCTCACACTATCGGGCAGCCAAATGAGTCAACACCCAGAATCAAAATCAGAATCTGCTTGGTCCAAAATCTGACCCTATCATTGAAGAGCTATGTAACCTCACTAAATTTGTTTCCTTATTTGTAAAATGGAGATATTTCTCAAACTACTTCAAAGAGTCCTGTGGTAATTAAGTCAAAGAGTCCATATCAAGTCCTCAGCATACTGCAAGGCCTTGATAAATGCCAGCCTTTACTATTATCGTTGTCATTTTTATTCTTATTACCCATGCAACTTTGTAAATAGCACATGCCTCACAGGCCTAAAACAGTTGCTTGAAATGGTAACTCAGGGGGCTGAATGTGCTCTGTGCTATTATTCACATTAAAACAAATGGTGATTATTCATAGAAATGGGCAACAGGGATTGAAATTCATAAATAAGCCTTTCTTTAGACTCTCATGTTGGGCTAAAAATTTTAACACCTCTCACCAGTCTATTTTCTATACACAAGTACACACGTACACACATACACACACACACACACACACACACACACACACACATACTTTCTTATAGTTTTCATATGAGATAAAAGTGGATTGCTCAGCATGGCCTGGAGCTTCCTTCTCTGTTTGCTTTATTCCCAATTATACTTTGATGGGTTAGCTAGAGAATGAAACCCAAAGCACCCAAGGTTAAAGGGATTGATCCCAGGTCCTTCGGTAACCAAGGGACACCACATGCCATTAAGCCACATGCACGACATGTGACTCAGAGACAACATGGGCCACAGCTTTTCATACCTGAGCACAAAACTGACCCCCTTTTAGAAGAATAATTACAGGGGTTCACGATGGTGGGGTGAGAAGTGGCTTGCAAAACTTAATGACACATAGAGGGCAGGCTCCCGCAGTGCTTAATGCTTAAAGTGTGCGGCCGTGGATACAAAACAGATTGCTTATGCAAAAGAAAAAAAGTATTTCTAGGCCACTCATTAATGGGGCCCAGAATCAAGGAGATGTGCAGCCAGCACTCGCTACAGCCTCCTTGTCACCCAAGGTCCAACTCCCTCATTTTGCTATTTTGAAGGTTGACAAATGTTCACTGTTTAGAAGTTCTAAGTACAGCAATTAAGAGCTCTTCAGAATAAATATGCTAAAGAAATCTTTTTTCCCACTAGAATAAATAAAAATCACATCTAAAAAAAGCTGTGGTTAAGAATGCTGTGACTAAATCCAGCTTGTAGCAACAGTCACATAAACAATGATGGGATTGGACGATAGAGCTGACGCATTGGGGGGAAGAGGTCAATGCAGCTCTCGTAACTTCCCCAGTCCGCACCCCAGCTGCATATTAGCATTACCTGGAGAGCTTTAATAAGCACCGATATTCCGGGTCCACCCAGACTAAAGCCAAGACTGGGTGTGGCCCCGGAAGCACTAGTTTTATTAAGTTCCCAAGTGACTGTAATGGCCAGTCAGAATTGAGAACCATGGTGACAGTGAGAAGAAAGTGCTCTTGACCTAGAGTCTAGGCTTTTAAAACCCATAGTAAGACAATTCAACTTCAAGTATCAATGACAGGTTCTCATATGTATGTCATAAGCAAACAGATCCAAATCCCAATATACATTCATTTTTTTCTACAGTTTTCATTAGCCATCCTGTGACTGTCAAAGCAACAGCAAAGTACTGTTGATGCAATATTCTAAAACTGATTAATGTAAATCACAGCTTAAGGGGTCATATCCAAGGCTGTCTACAGAGTCACCAAACACAGCTCTCTGATCTTCAAGAAACAACTTGCTGGTCTAAAATATACCACCTTGGCCAGGCACAGTGGTGCACATCTGTAATCTCAACACTTGGGAGGGTGAGGCAGGATAGAAGGATTGCCACAAATTCAAAGCAAGCCTAGGCTAAACAGTGAGTTCAAAACCAGGCTGATCTACATAGTGTGACATGACCCCATCTCAAAACAAATCAAGCCTCATCAGATATGGTATTATTTAAAGGGTGATACTATTGTTGCCTTAAGTAAAGTTTGCAAAAACTCCTATAACTGGTCAGAGCTTAAGGCTAGGGCAATATGGTGTTGAACTACAAGAAAAAAACCATCTAAATTACAAAGTTCTACTGACACTGGGATAGGACAGACCTTACTTATAGGCTTCCAAGAATTTTCCTGTGGTCTTGTAATTCTCAAACTTCAATAAGTAATTTTTTACCACCTTCTATTAGTGTGAAGGGAGGTGTTAATATGTAAACAGGAAAATATAAAAGCCCTATGATCCTCAGGAGCAGTACCTATTGGCCAGGGTGTTCAGTCAGGAGTAATTCTGTACCTTGGGGACACCTGGCAATGTCTAGCAACTACTTTTGATCTTTGTGCCTGGGAGTGGGAATGCTACTATCATGCAGCAAATATAAGCCACAGTTGCTGCACAACCAACTACACTGCTTAGAACAGCCCTTCCCACAAGAATTAGCCAATGAAAGCCAGATGCAGCAGCACTCACCTCTCATCCCAGCTGCTGAGGAAGCTGAGGTAGGAGGATTGCAAGTTCAAGGCCAGCCTGAGCAACTTACCAAGCCCCTACCTCAAAATTAAAAAGGCCAGTGATGCAGCTCAATGGAAAAGCCGCCTCGTATGTGTGAGGCCCCAGGTGCAATCCCTATGTACCTCCACCAAAATTAAAGAGAAAGAGAGAATTATCTATCCCAAAACGTCAGTACTGTCAAACGGAGAAACCCTGCTGCAAAGGCTAT